ATCTCCCCACAATTTTCCACCTCTTGCAATTTCGAAGAAATCTGGGTCATTTTCGCCTCCCTTTTCCGTGCACCATTTTCCATTTCTTCCAATCGTGAATTGTGTTGGGCCATCTTCCTCTTTGTAATTTCTCCATGATTTTTCCTTTCCTCCAAGAGCATCTCATGCCGAGCCATCTTCTTATCAATTTCCTCTTCGCGATTGTTAAATTCTTTCAGTTGTGAATCGTGTTGAGTCACCACCTTCTCCATATTCTTTGCACGATCATCCATTTCTTTCAAATTCAAATCGTACTGGGCTATCTTCTCTTTGAGATCATTTGTTTCCTTCAAATGCAAATCGTTCTGGGCCATCTTCTCTTTGAGATCATTTATTTCCTTCAAATACATATCGTTCTGGGCCATCTTCTCCTTGAGATCATCCATTTCCTTCAAATGCAAATCGTACCGGGCCATCTTCTCTTTGAGATCATCCATTTTCTTAAAATGCAAATCGTACTGGGCCATCTTCTCTTTGAGATCATCCATTTCCTTAAAATGAAAATCGTACTGGACCATGTTCTCTTTGAGATCATTCATTTCCTTTAAATGCAAATCGTACTGGACCATCTTCTCTTTGAGATCATTTATTTCCTTCAAATGCAAATCGTTCTGGGCCATCTTCTCTTTGAGATCATCCATTCTCTTCAAATGCAAACCGTACTGGGTCATCTTCTCTTTCAGATCATTTATTTAAGCGCTCACAGGGCAAAGGCTAATTGGACATTTTCAAAGTCAAACGTTCGATCGTTCTTCAGTCCTCGACGATCACAAATTTCATTACAACACGCGGCAGGCACATGTACTGTTTGCTTATTCACTTCCTAGCTGATGGCTTTTCACGATATAGTTTTGAGCTATCAAAAAAATTACTTAAGGTGGTTTCCTCTTCAACTACATTTAAGACCACTCATTGCGGTCACTGAAACAATCATTATTTTCATCTCGATGGATAATAATGAATTATTTGCTTGCCGCCTCAGGAATCGAAAATAATAAAAGACAATCAGGATGAGAACTACGGTGAACCAAGAGAGAACCTCGGCGAACTCAAATAAGAACTATGCGAAATACTGAGAAAAGTCTCATCGCTTTATGTGTTCGTGATCACACTCGTTCTCAGTCATTCTAGAGCCCATCGTTGCGTACTTTGATCATTACCTGGGGTCCGTTTCTCGAACGTCCCGGTAATTTAACAGGCCCTTAAAGCTGTTCTGTTTTCATTCACGATGGAGGTTTTAAAAGTTTGGAGAATTACAAAATAAAACTAGCAACTTAAGAAAAAAAATGGGTTGGTTAGGGTGGTAGAACCTGCTTCGATGTTCGTTAACTTTGGATTTATAAATGTGGCTGCGAGCCCGTTAAGTTATCGAGACTTTCGAGAAACGGGCTCCTGGGGCGAATAGAATATTGATTCGGGTTATTCGGGGATTCCCCTTTTTAGCTGCCTACGCAGCACATTTTTGACGCATTTGCTTCCACCAGTACTTTCGCTTCCAGCTTCAACGGACGTTGGTGGTGTCTTTAAAATTGTCTGTTACAACACCGTCAAAAACGCATGGAAATAGTGCCTCCTGATGTCGAATTTATTACAAAACTAGAAGAGCGTTACAAGTGTATAAGTTGTGATCATGTCTTGATAGATCCTGCTCAATCTTCTTGTGGACATAGGTAAGTTACAACGTAGAAGTTTCTAGAATGAGCGGAAGTCATTTACTACGCAGTGAGTCGTTGCTGTGCAAAATTATATTACAAACGAAACTACATTTCTATTTATTTGGGGGACAGGTTGGCGAAATAAGTAATTTCCACAAGAAGGGTATTTCACCGATCGATACAACGGTCAAACACAAACAGCGTTACTTACGACACAGTAGCCATGACGAATCGGTCCGTCGATCAGTCGATCGTGTGACCCGTCCATCTGACTCATTATTTAAAAATTAAATGGAGAAGGGCTCTGAGATATGCACAAACCCATAGCGGAGCTACTAATTTCAGTTTCTGAACTGACGCGGTTTTGTGTTTGTGTGTTCTTGTGTCGGGAGGCTTTGAAGAATGAAGCATAACACAATAGATGCTCTTCTTATTCAATGACATGTAAATGAGTGGCCGGGTATTCTGAAGTTTAGCCAGGACTTGTCACACTTTTAACCAGGGACGTTCATTGTTTCAACCAATGAGTTAAGAGAACAAAGTGATGCTTCGAAGTTTTGTTGAAATAAAATTATCTGGCATTGAATCGGACTTATTGCGAAATACCAAATATAGTCGAGTCAGTTCTTAGACGTAAGCTCTGTTTTTAGTAACGGTCACATCGAATGAGGAGGCGGTGAGGAAAGATTACTAATGTAAATCCACGTGGAAGAAGGACTTAGTTTGAAATAGGCTAAGAAACCCATGCCGATTGCAATGAGTGGGTTTCTTAGCGACTTAACGAATATTGGCTTTGTGCTACCAAGCTAAACCCGTTCTTTTCTAAATGATCAGATGAATGCATGCCACTATTCTTAGCAATGATAAATCAAACATGCTTTTTAAAATGTGCTGAGTGCGCGGAAATACGGAAAAGGAAAAGATTTGAGGAGATTTTAAGTGGACGGGAACGAGAAATGCGCACGTCTTGTTCCAATCCCCGACAGGGATGAAATACGCCTGCGCATGCGTGGAGTGAGCATATCCATGTTGTCGTCGAGTTGTTCGATCGTTTGAATTACGGACTTTTCATCCAGAAGTCTTTTTGTCTAAGTCTTTTCGTCCAAAAGTATTTTCACTAAGTCTGTTCGTTTACTTGTTAAGTCTTTTCTCGAAGCAAATAAATAACTTTTAGAAGGCTAAATAAGGCTATAGAAAGAACTTGTTGCAAGCTATTCACGTAGTGATGTTACACTTCTTTGCCCTTTTACGCTCCGTAGACGCTTGACAACAAGCCTAATATTCCCATTTCTTTCGCGTGAATTAATTAAACGGCAAGCAAGTCTTTACTTTTGCCACCATTTAAGAAAGTATATTGCGTTACAACTTCATTCATTCTCTGTGTATTTATCGTAAAATTCATGACGTTGAATTCGTAAACGAAGATTGGTGACTAAAGGTGTCGGTACCAAAATTTTCCATCATCTCAGGGTTGATATGATGGCAAACAGCCAAAAACGTTGGGTTTAAACATTTTAATAACTTTTTTCCTAATCTTTTAGCCTTGTATAAAGAATATCCATCTTATCTTACTTCTCGCCCTTATAACAAATGTTTACTAGCTCTCCTTGTTCCCAATTATTTTAGATTTTGTTCGTCTTGCTTGGAAGATATTTTCAAGAGAGAACCAACCAACCCTAAATGCCCGGATGATAATGAACCCCTACAAAAGAACCTTATATTCAGGGACAAGTACGCCCAAAAGGAAATCTTTGCCTTGGATTGCTTTTGCCCAAAGAAATCACTCGGTTGTCCATGGAGCGGGAAATTGGCTAATTTACAAGCTCACCAAGCAGAGTGTTCTTTTTCGGAAGTGAAATGCTTATACAGTCATCTTGGGTGTACTGTAGTTGTCTTCAGATACCAATTAGCCAAACATGTCGAAAATGATTGTCTGTATAAGGTTGTTGAGTGCCCTTATTGCAGGAATGGATTTCCAGGGGTTAAAATGAGGGAACATCTCGAGGAGTGTAAAAAGTTCCCTGTGAAATGTTCCTTTGGCTGTGATAAGAGTGACATTCCCAGGGAGGACCTCAAAGAGCACTCCAAAGTATGCCCCCGAGCTCCTGTGCCTTGTAACTTCAGTTTCGTAGGCTGCACTTTTCACGATTGCAGGGAGTCTTTAGAAGAACATCTCCGCTCTCGTGCCACGGAGCACTTGACTCTCATGGCCAAATTTCACGAGAAAGCACAAGAGGAAACGAAAAACGTTCAGCAGCAGCTTAAAGCCTCCCAAGAGTTAATTAAAACTTACGAGGCGCGTTTAGCCCTGCAAACGGAAGCACTGGCTTTGAATAAACAGACACTTTCTACGCACCAAGTGAAGCTCGCAAGAGTTGAAGAGAATGTGGATTCCCAGCGGAAAAACATGGATGAACTTCGCAAAAGCGTCGAAGCACTGATCAACGCGAAAGATAGCAAACATGCGAATGATGAAGTGATGAGGCGTATAAATTTCCAAGACGAAAGGTTGGCACTACTTGCGGACGAGGTAGTAAGGTTTGGTGCTACGGGAGCGCGCGTACGCGCGGGGAACTTAGAACCTGGTGACAATGATCACCGATTTGGAAATGTGGAACACTCCATAGCTTTGCACGAAATAAAGCTTGCCGATCAAGACCTTAAACTACAGATAATGGAGACCACATGCTACGATGGCTGTTTCCTGTGGAAGATTGACAATTTTCAACGCAGATTTCGGGAATCCGTGGAGGGTAAGACAATCTCTATATACAGCCCGCCATTTTATACTTCGCGCTACGGATACAAGCTTTGCGCACGTGCATACCTCAACGGCGATGGGCCGATGGGGAAAGGAAAGTACCTATCTCTTTTCATCGTCTTAATGAGAGGGGAATATGATGCTCTGTTAACGTGGCCATTCCAGCATAAAGTCACTATGAAGCTGGTGGATCAAGAGCGGCTGTCGCACATAACCGAGAGCTTCCGACCGGATCCGAACAGCTCGAGCTTTCAGCGACCGCGTTCGGAAATGAACATCGCTTCCGGCTGGCCGCTTTTCTGTTCACATAGCCTGTTAAGATCCAGGGGATATGTTCGAGATGATACTATGTTTATCAAGATCTTAGTTGAAGGCAATGGGATAGCAATGATTTGAAATTGGAATGGACTCGGAAAGAATCATTTGACTCGTGGTGACAGAATATGGTCAATCCTAACCGCGAAGATGGCCTAAAGCATCCGCTGGTTTTAGTCCTTTGAGACATCAGCCCAGGATTTTCCACCGCCATTCCTTCGATGGGCCCGATAACTCAGTCCAATCGAGACGTGATCACAAGGTTTAATGGAGGAGAACGAGGTGATTCAGTTGCCTTTGGAGCAATGATGTAGAGAATTTGCTGGAAATCTACAGAAATGCGTGAAATTCTTACAAGTGGCTATGATTGCTTTTGAAACTGAACATTTACAAATCATCATCAACATCAATTTAACATTTATATGGCGCAAACTACTATATAGATAATCAGTCGCGCTTTACAATCAGTTAAGATGAGATCGGACGTCAAAATTCATCAGGCGCACTATGCAGCCACTTCAGTCCATGTATTGATCTCACCTTCCGAAATGAAAGGAAATGAAAAGAGTATATCAAAGACGCACTACACATCTGAAGTGTACCACTTATGGCGATTCCATGGAGACACTGTCCACAATGATGGTTTCCGTGGAATGAATATGTTCTATTTAGCTTTGAACTATAAGTATAAATCATCAAAGAACTTATTTATTTGTTGAGTTATTGCCTCTCCCAGGTTTTCAGTTGGTGGAAACAAAAGAAAAAGGAGGGCGTAAAAAATGACGGGTGCACGGGAAGGGGGGGTAAGGTCATGTAAAGCAATCACTGTTTGTCGCACCCCCACACTTCATTCGTCACTCACTGAAAGCCTGGGGTAAGCTAGTTTATTTTTCGTCGCTGAAGCAGGATACAAAAGTCTCAAGTTAATAAATGGACAATCGCGAAAGAAGCATAATAGAAGCGATGCTATATTTTTCTTACAATAATTAGTCACCAGATGTATGGCGGGGTTGAGCGAAATAAGGGCTAAAAGAGCTGTTAGAAATATCACACTATCTAAAGATACCATCTGAATATCTGTTTCATAAAAAAACAGCTTATGGCCCGCGCGCAGTTTCATTCGATTTACCTCATATGGCAGAGATTGGAAATAAATGATACCTTCTATCATTCAGCACTCGTCAATAATCCCAGGGGAAGGCTACTGCTATTGCTACCTTTAAAAATTCTGAATAAATTCATATCTACTGGATGCTAAATCGCCATTTTCATCTCGTTGAACTAAACCAAAAATATCCAAGCTCCTCATTTGCTTCCTTCCTGGGTGTTTGACCTCCAGTCTTTTTAAGATGACGATCAGTCTTGTTTCAAAGTGATCGTAAAACCACAGGTTGTCCTATAAAATCATGGCGTAGCTTTTAAAAGTCCTCTCCCCATGATGTTATAAGGACAACTACAGTAATGATTCGATTTCGTGCCCAGGGCGTTAATTACCTTATAGTGCATCATGGGAAGACACATACTCGAAACAGGGAACTTAGTAAGGTCAGAGCCGAGCGCGTATTTCTTTTTTCGAGAAACAGCAGAAAATGCGCAACAAAGCTTTAATGCTTATTTACATAGGAATAATAACAGAAACTGTGCCTCTTCCCTCTCCCCTCGCCCCAATTCCCCTCCTCTCCTCCAGAGCTTGCTTCCCGATCCCCCCTCCACTCCCCCAGGGCTTGCTTCGCAGGCTAACTGTAAAAGTAACAAGTGTACTGCAGTGAATTTTCACCTTATATTGATTGGGAATTTTAAAAATCCCTTGTCAAAAGAAAAGGGACTAAGACGAAGATCTCTATTTTTGAAATGAGCCTTCAAGTGAGCAATTAAAAGAAGATGAACACAGCCGATCTCGGTGTACATGTACTCTAACAGTACTATCACTGGAATAGAATAGGGGAGCTCTTTGGTAGGAGGGTGCTTTTGCAATAGGGGCGCTTATTAGAAAGGGGACGTTTATTATTAAAAAAAATTTGAGGGGGGCGCCGTATTGGGACGAGGGCGTTAAATCGAATCATTACTGTACAAACAACTTAGGAGTAACTAATTAGTTACAACTAGCAACTTATTTCCTCCCAGTAACGCTCGTCGAGCCCACAAAGTACGATCAGTTGAAACCATGCACTTTATTAATTAGGAAACAACTAGACGCGTACACAGACGCTAGGCGCTCGTGGGGGTAAATATGGGCAGTCATCATATGATTTCCACACCTATCTCACAGGTGAATTATACGTCTTGCATGTGAATGGCAGGTGAAAAATATTTTTTAGAGTCTGAGAAAAATGTTATGCCTTTCACATTTTCACATGGTTTGCTAACGCATGCGCCTTAGAGTTTCGACGGCGATAAGTGACAGAACCGACACAACTTAAGCCTCCAACCGATCGCCTGAGTATGAGTAAAGATCAGTGAACTTGTATTGGGCTTAGCTATAAATTTTGCTGAAGAATAGCAGACTACTGAATGACACAGTGCTCTACTTGGAAAATGTTACTACCTAGTCGTGTTGGTGTGTCATGACCAGCTACTGGTTACCGAGGAATCGAACTTGTTGTCCCTTTTCCTGCATCGTGATTGGATAATGTTTACCATGGTAATGCTGACGTTTTGATGAAGATGCTCTCACGAGCTCGGGTGTTCAAAACCGGCTGAAGCCACGTCCGTTCAAGGGGAAAAGATGTAAACATCCGGACAAATATCATCGGTCTTAATAACTAATTGAAAATACGTGCAGTCTGAAATAAAGGAATTTAACATGAAAGTTGAAAGTTTATGTTAAAACGTGAGGCAGTGACATAATCATGACAGAGTTCAAGAAGTCAATCAAAATTAAAGAGCGATTATATTCTTTACTTTAACTTTTTTTCGGAAACTGTACAATTTGACAAGTCAGGAGTAATATGTCCACACTCTTTTGTTACACCGTGACCATTAAAATCACAGTCGCAGTTCTCCCTTAAAAAGACCACCTTGGGCAGTGAGCCTAAAAATAACGTGACCCATCTGGAGCCCCTTTGATATCAAAGTAAGATAGCAACTTGAACTTTTAAATTCCCTTTAATGCCCCTCAGATCCTAACAAACCGGGTTTTACCTGGGTCTCAAATAGACTGTCGGCACGTCTTGTGAAGTGATGCTTTCAACTCCTACACAAGGAATTTAAAGACCACCTTTAACTCAGTCCTGCATCTTTGGGTTTCATCGTAGATAAAATTTTATATTTTAAAAGAAAATCTCAAATACAAGGGTGTAAAACCACGTATTTTTTGGTCTAGTTTATAATTGTGCTCACACTGTAGCGATAGAACTCGCAATTCTTCAAGGTATCATGATACGACCTTAATGAAAAACTCCCCTTTGGTGACCGGAAATGTTTACAGTGAATTATCTAATTCCTCGTTTTACAGGAAATATCCTAACTGACCTTGCAACCTCCAGGGTCGGTGAACGTTTTGGGGAGGACCAATCTTAACTTTTGTTTTTCTTTTTCTTCGCTCATACTGGGATCTAATTGATAAGGCAACGTGAATTTCGTTTCAGCTAGTGTTGACCCACACGCGCGTTTGTATCCAGTTACACTTAAATCAAAATGTTAAGTGTAGAAATGACCCTGATCATACAGATCAAGGTAAAGATTTTCATTTCTTTATCTCAAATAAATCGGGCTGTGTACATAACATTTCATCGCTTCACTTGGCAAATACTCGTGTGTGGTAAAAAAATTCATTTTAATGACTGTAAAGAAAACTGCCTACAATTATCTCAATTATAACTTTCAGGGGGGGAAGGAAGTGTTCGTTTGAAACTCGAAGTTTTCACCAGATGCCACCCACTCTCAAGTCCCTTTTTCCTCTTTTTCTGAACAACTAATCTTAATCGATCACACTTTACTACCAATTTCTATTTTCGTAAATTCACGGTTCTGATCTGCAACCCTAATCAAGCGTGCCTCAAAAGCAAATAAAGGGAAGGAACTCGAGCAAGAACCCAGTCTCCTCCGCAGCCGCTTTGCGTGATTAAGCGCAATACTCACCCAGATGAGCGATGCGTGACAGCAGTATGGCAGAAAGGGAGACCATCGCGAGGGCCTATCCCAACGATTAGGTCCTGCAGATCGCGCTTCACACGTAAATTTTCCATCTTCCTCATCCTATACAAATCTGCCAAGCTGTCTCATTAAAATTTTAAACTGCGACTTATACGAGGAAACTAATGGCATAGTTAAGTAGAATACTTCTTATACTGCTTATCTGATTTTCAGTGAATAATTCATTTCTCAAAAAATTAAGAGACTCAAATGACTGCAATGCCGTTTTATTGAAAGCAGCCCCACAAATTGTGATCAAAATAGGAAAAGAATTGGACTCCCTTCATAATCGTTGGCGGGTCTTCGTTGAGGAAAACTGGACAATGCCTGTAACCTTTCTTTCAGACCACCTTTCCCGTATCCGAACACCAATTTCGATGATTATTGATAAACCTCCGAATCTATAAATAGCAAAGAATAGGCGTATTCATGAAGCTTTTATCATTCTGCTTTCCTGATTAACACAAAATTGTCCAAAAAGTAATGACAAACTAACATAACATCGTGCGCAATTTTGATTGGACGAAATGGGTCACTCCATCTGCGAGTTCACATCGTGATCTTGTAATAATACCCTAAACCAAACAAATCTTAAATTATCGATTCACCTTGCATTCCCATGTTTCCAATCCGTAAGGTCAATTGTGGGTACAAGCAAACATTTAAGTATGACAGCCGTGTTCGGCCCAACGCACGCAAACGGAATGTCATAGAGGGTGGGTGGGTAGGTTATTCTCAAACATGCAGTGCTTAATCCTCTCTCGATGCGCTCTCCAAAATAGTCATGCAAAATTAACATAACGATGAATTCAAATTTAATTTAGAGATTTCGTCTTTCTTAAAGGCAACCATCTTATTAAATGGCATTTTATTGAGCAGGGAAAGCTATCCCTTCCGGTTATGAAAGTGATGTTCAGTCGTAACACTGAATAGACAGGGACACAGGCCGGTTTAGCATCGTAATTTGTTCTTGGAGGTTTCGAACAGGCAATGTCCAGTTCGTCTTGAACTAGACATTTCGGTTAGGATTCAGAATAAAAAATGAGGCCTATCTAAGCCTACAGAAATAAAGGGAATTGTTCTCGACGGTTTTCCAATCTGCTCTTCTGAGGTGTGTATTCGTAACGGAATGAATTTCCTATCTACCGAGACAAGGAAATTGCACTTGACGGATCAAGACAGTTGGGGCATCGCTCTCAACATAAAATAAAGCAAAATTCTCTCCGTAAAATATTTTCTATCGCTAATAATGTTCTTCGATGTCTGCTTTTTTTTTCAGGGGGGGGGGGCTCACCGATGACAGTCGTGGCCGTAACCTTTCATTTTCTGATGTTAACAATTTCCGCTCTTGCGTTTTCTACCTTGAACTTCATTTGAGAATCTTCTGGCAAACCACTCTCCTTTCGTTTCTTCCAGTTTGAGTAAACATCAGCAACCAGATATTCAACATAAACAAATATTCACCGACACCTTAACGAGTAACTCCAAGCTTCAGATTTCGATCTTAAGCCCCAGTTTAGAACAGTTATACTTGCGTGGAGGTATTGCGAAACAATGCCGGAAAAAAAAAAAAAAACCGAGCCGGAAATTGTGTTGCAAAGGAACTGCGTAAAAATCTTCTGAAACTTCGCCAGAAATGTTCAAAAGATTATGACGCAGGTATGTATCGACGAACCGCGAAACTTGTAGCGATGACAAAATATTATAAAAAGGTCACGCCACATTTTTCCTGAGCCGGAAAAGAACAGGATGATCATTCACACCAGAATTTCGCCGGGCGAAGGTGACTCACCTTCGGCTATGTTAGGGAAAAGAAAAACATTCTCTCACGACGACTTCTGCTTGGTTGCAGAAGCTTCTGCTTGAACGATTGGGTGTCTTCCCGGTGGGAGAGGGGAGGGGAGGGGAGGGGAGGGGACAAATGAGAAGAAAAATGCTCCAGTCGTTGGCTTTACCCAGCTTAAACACTGAAGGACAGGAAAATCCTGTATAAAAATTCATCACGGCCTTTCTCAGGGATTCGTGACTCATAAAGAAAAACTGGTAAACTTCTTTTCCGAAAATAAAAATAGCTGTCTATAAATTTAAGCCATCGGTGATTATCTGGGTAACTTTATTAGCAATACCCAGGATGTATTATCGTGACCTGGCTCCGGTTGTTCAAAGGGCGGATAGCGCTATCCAACGGATAAATCGCTATCCAGCGGATAAGTATTACCAAAACGTACTGCGCTATCCACCGGATAGAGATTTATCCACTGTATAGCGTTATCCATCCTTCGAACAACCGGGGCCTGATCTACATTCTAAAAGGCAATTTCGTTTATATGCTTTCTTCGTCTTTATTGGATTTACTTTCCAACCGCCCCGGTTGTTCGCAGGGTGGATGTTCGCAGGGTGAATCACAATATTACTTCTAATTTTATAAACATGACAGTGTTATTTATTCGCTCCGACGAAGGGCTAACGCTCGAAACATCAGCTTTTGTAATCGTTACGGTGGCCAATTTACCATTTCAACTTTGTTGATATATTGAAATTATCTCGTTACCCCCACCAACGCAGCCCCTAACAGTTTCTTTCGAAACTATCAGCTTTTATTCATTTGTAAAAATCTCTATCTGGTTGATAGCGCAGTGCGTTTTGTGCAGTAAAATATTCAGCAAGCAACCGTGGACGATAATTCTACTCTTGTACGTTGGATCAACAGTGATCTAATCGGCCCAAAATAACGAATATAAATATAGAGGCAAGACCGATACAACGTAGATAAGTTTTAAGACGGAGCACTATATTTCGGCTGGTCATACCAGCCTTCTTCAGGTGCACCTAAAGAAAGCTGGTTTGGCCAGCCGAACTATAGTGCTCCGTCTTACAACTTATCTACGTTGTATCGGTCTTGCCTCTATATTTATATTTGTTTTGTTCAGAACCGTTAGCTGGATAGCGATTTATCCGCTGGATAGCGTTACTCACCTCCCTTCGAACAACTGGGTCCATTTTTTTAGTCAACTAAATCTACAAAGCGTTTGAAAAAAAAATCGCAAACTCCCAAACTCCCAAACAAATTGTTCACTTCCCCCGCCTTTCTACGTGTTCTTACTGCCAACAGACAAAGAAAGCTCCCTCCCTCCCATCCCCTGCTGTTCTTCTCATAAGAAGACGTACATGTACAACGTAGCAAGCGCAAGATGTACAAATTGGAAGTCGGTAAACGACAAGCGGTAGCTTTCCTAACTACTTTTAAACGATCTTTTTAAACTTATGATTTGCTTTTTTTGGCGAAGGGGGGTGGGAGAGGAAATAAATCGCGGTGGAACTGCATAAGACCAGCCCACGCAGCGCTGAAAAAAAAAATTCAGTTCAGCGCAGATAGTTCGAGAAATGATTACACCATGGCAAGTTGAAGGTGTATTGTACTCCACTTATAAATTAAAATGTCGAAATGCGTATTTTATGCTATATTCTAATTATAAGCATACTCAAAATGCGAATGACTGTGCATACCACAAAATACGTGGGTGAATGGGACGTTTGGTCACACCAAAATCACATGATAGCGCTTTAAAAGATAAAAAAGCTTTGCTAAGCCCAGGAAAAAACTATCGGCTCATTCCGGTTTTTCCGTGCAAGTTTTGGCAGGTATATATGGAAGTTTTCCTTTCAGGGGAAGGGAAAAGAACAGAAAGGCCATATTTTCCAGAGTTGTTTTGACAAACGATTCGTGTTTTAGAGATCTATTTTCACATGCTTGTTATCTCATCTTTGAGAGTTCAAGTATTTGTTTGTACAGAGTGTCTTGCGAGGAGAAAGTCCCCCACCGTTTCATCTGACGTCGTTACGATCGTGGTTGATCGATCTGCGGTTCGGCCCCAATAAATGACTCGTACGCTTCTAAAAGAAGTTTCAAGGCATAGCAGATAGGGGTCCAAAGCTTTATGTTCGACTGGTCAAACTAGAATATTCCTGATCAAAAATAGTAATTTGTCTAAATTCAAAGTTGCATCATTCAATATTTATCAATTGCCGTCATGCTCATTTAAGCATGATGAAATGTGGGAAGCCAGTTTTAAATTTTGTATTTGACCTCATAAAGTTGGAAGCCCAACGCCTTGCTCGAGTTGAGAACTCCAGCTTTTCAATCTACACCGGTTTCGCCCTCTGAAACTTGACCTGCGGATAAAACCCTAACGACCATTTGGATTTTCGCAGATCATGTGACTGATTCGAGTGAGCACCTCAGTAACTAACGTTCTTTTCGTGCCCTAAAAAGTGTTAGAGCGTGAGGCCATTTGCATAAGTGAAAAACATGTTCATGATTAGCAAACACAAAAAGCTTCAAACCACAAGAGGTTTTTTCTGTAAGTTCTAAAATTACTAAGCCAAAGGTCGTTACGTAACATGTTCGTTTCACGTGCCGGAAATGGACAACTCGATATCGTGCGATCGATTGAGTTTATTCTGATAACATTCATAGCTGCGCAGCAATAACAGAGAAAGCTTTTCTGACGATTCACGGCTCAGGCCGCTCTAAAAAAAAAAAAACAATTAGCATTGAAAAAAAGACAACTGCTGTTGTTAAGGTTAAACTGTAGTCCCGTCAAGTAAATCTCTGTTGAGGTCACATGAGCTGTTGTCACGGCGTGACAGCTGATATTAGATCGTGCTTTGTTCAAGCAAGGAGAATTCACTCCTGATCAACAGTGGAGTTCTGTTGTTTTTTTTTTTTTTGTGGTAAACATGTGGCATTGGCCAATCAGCGCCAGGAAATGTCAGCTTGATACACATACGTCACTTCCCTAAATGAAGAACTCATCTCTGCACAGCAGAGCCGCTCACCACAGACCCAGCCACTCGATTCCATCCTCGGGTCAAGGTAACGTCTTAATAAGTTCAAGGCCTGTAAAAAATCGATCGACCGGTGCTCTGAACCCGATCAGTATAAAGACACGTCCTAGCCAATCGGAGATCTACGAAATAAGAGTGCTTAGGGGACAAAAAAGAATCTTGGCAGAAATGGTTTGCTGCAAGAAGAAACCAATGGAGGACAAACCAGAAATAATTGTACCGTTTCCTGACGGTGGCTGGGGATGGCTCGTTTGCATGGCCACGTTCACGACGCAATTTATCGTTCTCGGCACTATGAACAACTTTGGGATCGTGTATGTGGAGCTGCTGAACGAGTTCAACACTGGAAAAGCTGATGCAGGTAACGGAGATTTTTTTTTCATTACCTTTAATTTTAAATTGTGCTGTGACAAAAACAAGATGCAAATGAGTTTGTTATTATTTGATATTTCTAATCTCTTGCGTTGAACGTTAATTGCTTATAGCTGTTGCCTCTACAGTTTGGTAATTTCGGCGCAGCGAAAAAAAAAATCAGATCTTAAGAGTTAACGCTTTAGGCATGTTACAATTGCTGAGAATTTACACGCAGTTTTCCGGTCGAGCAACTCTTGCTATATGGAGTCGTCGAGGATCTGATAAATGAAAATCTTCGGCAAATCGTTTGCCGAAGTGATGCTCTAACCGGTGAAAATCCTTACCCTTCGTTTGCTAAGGAAACTCACGCTTTGATATCAGCTGTTTAAGCGATTTTGAAAATAATCGGCGCTCTAGCAGCGGTCTACCTAAATCGGGAAAGGAAACTAGCGGTGGTCATTCAGGAGGTTTTAAAATTTATCATTCCCTTCTTGTTTTTCAAATAACAGGAGTCTAGTTGCGTATGATTCTGCCTTGTAACTTTAATATCTCAAGTTCTTGAGACTTCTTTGTGACAGTACGTGCGACAATTTTGTTAGATTCGTACAAGATTTTTTTTCTTCTTCGATCCAGTTCGCTTTCCTTTGTTACATGTGTCAGCAAATGTCAAAGTGTCGTCAAAAACCTGTTTTTCTTGCTTTTCGTCCAATCGAAATGCTTTGATTAAAGCTGCATGATTTTTAGGGGTTTTCCATTGCGTCAAAACCCATCCCCCAACACACCCACAATTTGCTGCGTTTCTGACGAATTCAGTGACACAAAACCTTTCGTTTTGGTCTTCGAAAGTAAAATTCGCAGCTAGTGCAGACTTTGTTTCCTTATTTGTTGCTACAAATAAGGAAAAAGCTTTTGTCAATATTTTCATTGTCCTGGCCAAGTTGAAAAGACTTCATTTGCATTCAATAGGTCTTGTCATTAGCTTAGATCACTTTCTTTCTTGTTTGTTTGAACAATAGTTCTCAAACTCTGCTTATCTTGTACAAAACTGTCAAGAAAACAATTTTAAGACGCATGAGTCGAGCAACTGACGTAATTTCAATTTATAATCTCAACTGGAAAAGCTTCTTATACAATGTTGTTTCAAGTGTCGAACAACCTTTTCAATTTCACCCTAATTCAAAATCCTTTGTTAACGAAATTAACTTCAGGGAATTACTTTCGCTCACACAAACTTCCCTCGTCAAAACTGTGTATTAAGATTATTTTACCTAAGAATACTGTCAATCAGAAGTTTGTAAATTCCTTGCTCCTATGATAACCCCAAGTTAAAAAGAGATTAAAAAGCTCGGATTTCTTCGATATAAATAGCGTGCTTGCGATACTTGTCAGTTGTGCGTTCAGACAGTAAACTAAGGAAATCAATCAAGAAGTTGTGTCGTTTACCTTCGGGAAAGTTTTACCTCTTCCTCATAAATATCACAAAATTCACACAAAACTACGTTCACCGCAAATTAAGAACCAAATTCCGGGTTAAGATATTGTCCGCTTCGAAGTTAAGAGAACTAAATCGAAGTGGGCCACAAGCAAAGTTTCCGTTTTACAGGTACTGAACGCAATAAAAAAGTGATTAAAAGTTGTCAGGAAATATTTACTTCGATTTTGCAACAAGCGTGGTGCAAAAATAACTCGGTGGGAGGCTTAAAACTGCCATGAATTAGAAGCTTATCGATGCACGGAAATATTCAAAATGCAAAATAATAATTGAATTGCCGAGTACAGCCTGTCTTGTTTACAAGAGAAGTAAGAAAACATTCTTGTTTAATGGTGTAATTTATTTTACTGGTGGAGTTGCGCCTCGAATGAAGTTCGTCGTAAGAAACTAAGTGTTTCATTCCATTCTTGCGAGAAAAAAATTCCTACAGGAAATAGCTTCAGTTGATTATGGTTAATTCTTGGTTTGTGGTTTGTCCCTTACGCATAGTTAATTAAAACTGAGTTGAATAATAAGAATCCCGGATTGTTTTGGCGGAGTTGCGAAAGAAAGACAGGAAAACGAAAATGCCGACAAACACAACTTGAAGCTCCCAGATGCGCCTTTTAAGATAATTTTCTCTGTGTTGGAATCGAGACAGCGAACACCAAAATATGTTAAAATGCTCTTTAATCAATGCTTAAACTCTATATTCTTAAGCTGATGTTGCTAATGAATCTTAAAGAAAATTGAATTTGTGTACATTCAAGAAGAGTTCTGACAATCCACAGGGTTCGTGGAAAGAGTTGAGGGTTCACGATGCGAGGGGAATTTGAACCCTACTTTCCTGTTAATCTCTTTGCCAGTGCAAAAGTCTCCAGTATGTATTTTTGAAAATTTGTTTGCAGTCTTTCTGAAATCGGCAAAAAAAATTGTACTTCAACGCAGTTTACACTAACAGAGTGTTATAATCTCTAGAACAAGAATCATTTAGTGTCGAACTTGTGATTGCCGCAAATTTGGGCAGAATTTTGTAAAAAATAAGAAGATATTTGGATAGTTTCGATCAGTGTAGCGTCTCAGCCAGCCGTAAAAGATTTAGAAACCTTTGATTTGATATCGTAGGGGCACAAACGCACAAATCGACGCCGAGAAAGTTTTCCGTTTTGCGGTTTGCAGCAGGGGTTGTGGTCAGTTGAACTCCTTGACGCGTGGCGCTCACCGACCGGACGAGCGTTATTACGCGCGAGAAACATCACAACGATCCACCTTTCTGCGCGAATATGTGCTTTTACATCCTGTTCCACTAAAAAACCCACCCACACACATTATTTTCAAAACATACATCCCTTGCATTTCCCTCTAATAAACATCACTTGTTGTGCTCCGTCTCAAGCTCGCTCAAGCTAACAATATTGCGTGACAATTATGTGTTATAATTTGTAGCCCTGACACGCGACTCAGACTAATAAAGTATGGCACCGGGGATGTTTTTGTTGAAAATCAAGACTGCGACGGTCTGTTTACTTTAAAAGCAGCACGTAAATGGAGAGGCAGGAGTCAAGAATTCGTCAAAAAGTCTTACTGTTACGGCACGAAAAGAAGTTTGCTGGCATTTTGTTCTCTCCACACTCTATTTATCCAAAAATTAAGGGATTGATGATTTATAAAGAAAAAAGTAATTTTGTTTTTCGTTTGGTACAAGCGGTAAATAAACGCTGCGTACCTTAAATTTTAATGGCGTTTCGAGGAATTTGGTGCTGGCTTGATTACTAAAAGCGTATGTTGATTTGTGCAAATTGTTTCAAGCATCTAAAATTTTTTTGTCTTTCGACGTCACTAGGGTCGAAAAGCAGATCTTATTTCTGTCAACACTGAAAGTCTCTCATTCATTCCTTGAAACTAAAAATAAATTTCTTCATTAGCTAAAACAATATCTTCTTTAGCTAAAAATTTATCTTGAATAATTCCATGTTGAACGAAAGGCAATCCCAAATTCATTCCTTCTCGTGAAGCCCAAGCTCTGTTTTACTTGTAACGCATCTACCCAGAAAAGGTCGAGGGACAGAGCGGTAATCCGATCGTTGCTTTATCTTGTACACTCCATTGCTCTTTAACGCATAAATCACCCAACAATTTCGAATAACTTAACATAGGTGAATTCAAGAAATGGGAAATTAGACGAATACCCCACTTTCCTGAAGTTATTATCAATCCAATGACACTAGGCAATGGA